ATGCAGGGAGGTTCCTGAGTGGTTGCACAAATGGCGGCTTCTCAAGAAGGGCTCAGCTCCATGAGTGAGGCCACAAAGGCTATGAATGAGAGGTCTCCAATATGCGGATATTTAGAGAGCAAAGAAGACAACTAGATGAAATAAAAAGAATTTCTGGACAAAACTTATTTCCTTCAAGCATTTTAACCTGTGAAGTGGGACCAGCAGCTCGGCATATTGCAGAAGACAGATCTCTTCTTTCAGTATTTTTAAGAAACTGAACGCAAGTAAGTTTACAATACAGTCCACACTCCCTCACAACGAACTGTGTGTGCGTGCATGTAATGTATGTGCGTGCGTCCCACTCCAAACAAAACTGCTCGCCATGCGCTGAACGTTTCCTGTTTCCAAGTAGAGTGTAAATACAGCAAGAAACTCTCTGCAGTAGTTGGTTTGCCTTAGCTTCTGACTGCTTTCTGTATTTTGTGATGTAATGGAATAGTTGTCAGTGGTTCAAGTGTGTAAACGTTCTCCTACTATTCTCATGATCATTCATTAGCTTTTTCGCTGAACAGATTATATGTGAACAGAAAGATGAGGACTACACGAATCTCTTCGGTTTATGAACTTTCACTTTAAGAACTAATCCTTTAACGCGTCAGAAAAATTATTACTCCTCGTTCGACATTAGTGATGAAAAATCGATAAGTACAAGGAATAGAAGCTAAGCCTGATGCCGTTTCTATATAATCTTTTGCATCTTGCATTCCACTTTTTTTTCCCCTTGGCACTACAGCCCCAGCGGGCCTAGGCCTACCTCCATGAACTCCGTTCACTTCGGTTTTTCTAGATCTTACACATTCGGTAGGACTCCTTGGGCGAGTGATCAGCTCGTCGCAAGGCCTCTACCTGTACACAAACACAGAAAAACGCACACAAACATCCGTGCCCTGAGTGGGATTGGAACCCACGATCCCGGCTTCCGAGCGAGCGAAGACAGTGCCTTAGACCGCTCTGCTACCGTGACCGGCGCATTCCACTTTAGTAAAAGGAAAAGAGACCCATCGTCCCACCTTAGTAAAATCAAAGCATCCCCGTTTTCCCAGAAGCGTGGCGTTACAATTATGCAAATTCTGGTTTCATATTAATCATTAACACAAGGTCCTATTTTCGAGATGCCACGTTCCGAACTCTTTGCGGTTTGGCGCGTCTCACAGGTTGAGAAAGATTGTATCACCAAACCCATTCACAATCCTTCCCGCAGACGGACGCTGTTTTTATACTGCGTGTATTGACGGATACTGCACTCACAGCTTTCAAAACATTCTGGGACATGTTTCAAACACACATATAAAACCCTCCATTGTGATGAGTCGGGATAGCTCAGTCAGTATAGTGACGGGCTACGGGCTGGACGGCCAGGATTAGATTCCCGGCAGGGGCGAGTTTTCCTCCTCTTCACAGCGTCCATACTGGCCCTGGGGACCACGCAGCCCTCTATTCAATGGGTGCCGGGGCGGGAAGCTGACCTATTTTCCTCCATGCAGTGCTCAGGTTAAGAACGGTGGAGCTATACCTCCACTCCCCTGTATGGCTTCATGGAATAGTGCTTAATCACATGGACAACTTCACCATTATCTTACCGACCGTTATTATTTGCAAGAACGGCTGACATAACTCTGAATTATGAAACAAACTCAGTGGCCTGTAGGCCGCTAGCGAACTATACCGACCGTGCGACCGCCGCTTGTCGGCGAAGTTAGTCCCAAATTTAGCGGATAGAGGGTCTCACGTGGTTAGCGCAACGAATCCCCACGGCCATCAATCTCGGTTTTCTAGACTGGAGCCGCCATTTCCTTGAAATAGCTCCTCAATTATCCTCACGGGGCTGAGTGGATCCCTTTCCAGACCCACTACTGGCAGAGCCGGGAATCGAACCCGGGACCTCTGGATCTGTAAGCAGGAACTTTGACCACCAGACCACAGAGGCACATATGCCTATGTTCCAAGAGAGAGGTGCTCTGTAACAAGTTACTTTGCGACTCTCAGCAACTCCGACTACACAAGAATGAATGGTAGGACTGTTAAATAATGAATTCTAAAGGATTTGGAAAGAAACAATCATGGCATAATCCAGCCAGTATCCCAGCATTTGCCTGGAGGTACTGCGAAGGACCGGGGAAAACCTAAGCCAGGGTAACGGGCGTCATGGCCGAGATTTGAACCGAGTGCCTCCCGAATGCAAGTCTGGAGCGTTACCGCTCCTCCAGTCTGTTGGGCCTCAAGGTTATTAGGGTGATCACACTAGGGAAGGCATTGGTCAGGGCATGTAGCATGCACCAGAGGGATATACATGTAAAGTTTTGGTTTTTACTAAGAGACTAACTGGAAGACCTAAAAGTAGACATGAGGATAATATTAAAATTGATGCTAAAGTAGGTTGTGGACTGTATTCAGATGATACTGGTTAGGGATAAGTGGCTGGCTGTTGTGAACACGGCAATGAACTTCCATAAAATTTTCTTCACTAACTGACCAACTATTAACTTTTCCCAGAATCACCATTCTCCATTTAGTTAGTTACTTTCACGTCCTGTCTATCATATTCATGCGCCTACTTTACGTAATACCTCAGGTCACTGGACAGTTCTTCTCTTCTCCGGAAAGAGAGGATTTCTCTCGGTCACCTCTGTGCTGAGACCCTCATCTTCATCCGTAACCCAACAAACCTACTATTTACCAGAAATAGTAGCATTTCGCCGGAGGTAAAATGGCCCCAGAGTAAAGCTGACCACTCATTTCTGTCGACTTCTCAGTTTACCAATGTGTGGGGCGTCACACTGCATGCTGTAATGCTTAAACAAAGGGATAGCTTCGCTTTTACTTCCATTCATAGTGACTGCTTTCCAAGTAGTGGCACTGATTCTCGTTTAGTGAACCGCTACTGTGACCTGCATCTTATAGCTGAGTAGTGTACAGATGTAATATTAGCTAGACGTGAATTGACAAATTCAATTTTCTTTGTAGTGTCTCAACAAAAAAAAATTCACTTTTCCATGTTCCTTATATTTCTTCTTTTATTGGTATCACAACCCTGTATAGGTCTTGCCCTCCACCAATGTTTCGTATCAGATTTTTCCGGGGTGTTGTTGTTAGCCCCTCGTCCAAAGCCCAATATGGAGAACCAATGACTACATTTCATCTGGCCCATACCCTTTGACCCGTCTTGTATAGGTGGCCCTACCAGTGGCTTACGCTCCCGCCAGCATATCTCTCCCGCGTAATTGGGGTGTGCAAACCTCCTCTCCCAAGATTCCTTTTACTAAGATTCCGTATTCCGTATTGAGGGGGTGGGTTTCCCCATGAACTTAGACCGGTTACTGGTCCATTGTGCGTCCCCCTTTAATTTCTACTGTCTCCATACCCTACCGGTATTGGTGCTTACTATCAGTCCCTTTCTGCCAGCGAGGTTCCAACCTCTTACTGGCAGTGGTATCTAATAGTTAGTCCCTTTCTGTCAGCGAGGTCGTCCCTCCTCTGGCAGGGGTTACTAGTCCCTTTCTGCCAGCAAGGTTTCTACCCTCTACTTGGCAGTGGTATCTAATGCTTTAGTCCCTTTCTGTCAGAGAGGTCCCCCCTCCTCTGGCAGTGGTACCTGATACTTCCCCCATCTACCGGAGGAATTGGAAACTAGTTGGGTGGGAAACTTGGCCTAATTTTGCTCAGAGGTCTCCTAGAGACATGAGGTTCTTTTACGTGCCGTATATCTACGACACGGGACCCGCGGCTTAAAGTCCCTCCCGGAGGACTTGTTCCCTGAATTTTTCCGCCCTTAAAAATTCCACGACCTCCGCCGGGTTTTTGAACCCGCGTACCTTGAGTCATGAGGTGGGAACGTTACCCCTAGACTACGGAGGCCTCTTTTTACTAAGATACTTCATCTCATTATGTTTCAAGGTCACATCGCAGATTAAATACAAACAACTAGTAAAAAAGAAGATTCTAAAGGATTCTGACGATGGAAAAAGTCCAAAACCCCAGTAATTCTGCGTAGTAAAAAAGAATTAAATCCGTTTACATGAAGTTTATTACAATGAAATTTCAACTGTTAACAATTCCTTTGTGAGCAGATCCATTGAGCCCATCTGCTATCTTTTCCTGAACTTGTATTAGGGGTGGACCTTCTCGGCCCTTGCACCGCGACCTACAGTTATCTATTGTGTCTGCCTAATAAAGGCGTACTATAGGTTTGTAGGCAACTGAAACCGCTAAGTAATTAACTGACTGATTAGCAGGCTAACTACATATCTAAATTACTGTTCTTTGGTTATTTCGCAAATTTGGTAGAAAGCTGTCAGTATATATTATTTCAATTTAATCTTTCATACAGTCAGAAATAAAGCGAATTCTCTGTAATAACAATGTGCCTTCTAACGCAGTGGTGTGCCACTCCCAAGTTTACACGAGATAGCAAAGTGGAACATGGGCACCATATCCCCAAGTACTTCTGCTTTCCCTGCCAATTATCATTCCCATCAGTGTTCCCTTCGGTATGCGAGCAGGCACGTTATCACAACGTTCCAACGTTAGCACTTGGCTGGACTCAGTGCAAACAGGTTAGCTCGCCCGTTAGAGCAGTACGGGATGTTTGGTTTGTCTGGGGTCTGCCGGTGCAGAGCCCATGGAATTCCCGCAGAACGGAGGAGCCGTTACCGAGATTTTGCCGAAAGAGGATGAACTGTCCCTCGGTAGTATTTACCCACCTTCCCTACATTTGACCCTAAACGTTCATAGTCGCTAATACGATATCCCACTACTACAAAGGATCCCGTTCCTTCGCATTCCCACAACGCATTAACGTAAGCTCTACCCGAATATATTCCTACTGTCTCAAAGCGATTTCCCAAGGGGCTACAATGTTGCCGTGCATTACCAATATGATAACTACATTTTCATTCTTTGTCTTGGCGACTTCTGACAGCTTCAAACCATGCATCTGCCTAGCTAAAGTTTGCACTCACCGTTGAGGTATAGAAGGGAGCCTGATCGGCCCCCAGAGCTGGGAAATACGCGGCCATGCCGTCCGTGTAGGGTGCACTGTACATCGAGAGCGCCGGAATGCCAGCAGCTCCAGCCGCTGCGACGCCAGCGCTGGCAAGACGTTGGTAACTCAGCAAGTCGTACTGGCACGAGCAAACGGTCTGCCCTGTCAGGGGGTCCGTGAAGAGAGGGCGCCCTGTATCACAGCATCGGGTAGGACCTGGGGCGGCGCCGTTACTGGGGGGACTGCCCCCCGAACTGAGTGGACTTCGCACCGCCACCGGTTGCGGGCAGCTGCCGGAGACCGCCGTGGTACTGCTGCACGGGGTTCCCCCGGGGGGAACCACAGCCGTCGAAGAGGGTGGAGGGGAGCTCTCTGCGGTAGACACCGACAACTGAAATCAAGATCAGCAACATCATCACCACTGCGCTCTTTAGCAGGAAAACCTTCTAGACCATGAAGGATATCAGATACCAAGGAACATTCTAATTTGTCATCTGTCATTTCTAGGAATACTAGACAGGATTAGTGTTTCTGGGTATCCATCGCCTTTTTTTATTTGAAGCAACGTTTCGGAGATCGGTTCTGTTTCCGTCTTCCGAGATAGGGGCTAGCTCTATCGGTTGTGTCCAACTGAAGAGGTTTCACCTGAAGACGGAGACCGAATCCAGTCTCCAAAACGCTGTGTGTTTTAAAGAAACAGGACGCTGGATAATGTCCAGGAGCACAGTAATTGCATTAATATACCACCGTCACAGAAGTTTAGACCTTAAGTAGTAGATACGGTTGAAATCTGGACGGCGGAAATATAAACATGCTCAAAAGTTCTGGAACAAATACGATTTCAAGAGTGATACATTATGGAAATGTTGAACACTGTTCAGTTGTTAACAGACATTCACAACACAGATGACTGTAGAACATGAATTACTGCAAGGGTTTGAAAGCGGGAGCTCATGAAATTTACAACTTCTTTATTAACATCGTCAGAACACAACTATATCAAGATCAGTGCCTGGTTTTGGCTCTGCTACATGTTTCGGCTATTAATAGCCATCATCAGGCAAATACATGACTAACATATATACACCACTGAACTGCAGTATTAATAAAACTGGATACAATAATATTAATTATATTAAAATACTTGACGTAAAAATACAACAAGTTAGATTATATAAAACAAAAGTTATAGTATAAAACAAGAATAAAATTTTTCGATTGATGCTTTACATCATCGAGTCAGTCGTTGGTTTTTGTGATTTTGTGTTCCCACGGACAAATTGGAGTATTCTATATTTTGTGTATAAAAACTGTTATTGGAGGCTCGTGATGTAGATGTAGTAATATTAATGTTAATTCGTATTTAGTTGCTGCCTCTTCTTACGTACAAAGTATTGTCCGTCCTATAGGGAATGTAAACATGAAATTATTTGGTCGTGATCAAGCTGCTGTGAGCGAGTTAATTTTAGATATTGCAGGGGCGTAACGAGGAAATTCGCGTTATTTATACGAGTTCCCTAATAATGTTCAGCGTAGACCCCACGAACTGGCGGATCATAGTGGCCGTGCGGTCTACGGCATAAACTGTCTTCGTCCGCTCAAACACTGGGATCGTGGGTTCGAATCCCTCTTGAGGTATGAATGTCTGTGTGGGTTTATTCTGTTTGTGCTGTCCTGTGTGCAGGTAGCGGCCTTGCGACGGGCTGATCCCCTGTCCAAGGAGTCCTACGACTGTGTAAACAGATCAAGAAACTGAATAAGCGGCCAAGGTCCAACAAAGGGCTGCAGAGCTGTAGACAGACAGACATTATGAACGTAAGAGGGTAAGATGTACTGAACACTCAACTCACATAAGCGGGGCAAGAAATCTATATAAAATTTGAAGGGAGAACCTGCTGGCGGTCACTTACTAGTCCAGAAAGGAGACTTAAGGATAATATTATGGGTGATCCTTGGAACATAACTTGTGAGGATGGGACGCGGATGACGTATTCTGGTATTAACGATACTGCACATTTACTTACTGCTACCACAAAAATGATAACCCTTTGAAACCAGAAGTTCAACTGAATAATATTTACAAATTCAGTTCCAACATTACGGAAAAGGGGGCACGCGATAGCGCAGTTGGTTGAGGCACTATGCTACTACAAGCCGGAAGGTAGACTCAGCCTCTAACAGAAATGAGTACCTGGAATGTTCTTGGGGAAAAGGGTGGCCGACGCATAGGGCTGACAACCTTACCGCCATCTATGTGCCGGCTGTCTAGAAAATGTGGGACCCTCAACATTTCACATCCCTATGGGCCTCCAAGGTCTGTTACAGGGATAGCTTTACTTACTTACTTACTTATTTACTTTACATAACGGAAAACACAATTCGTCTCCATTATAAAACACCAATCCGTTAATGTTGTTTGTTGTAACAAAATCATATGAAACACACAGACACGTTCTGTGGGCAAACTGCAGAGATTCTGTTACGATAAAGCTGATCTTACATAGAATAGCCGCTTTTCCTTAAAGAACTGAACTATTTGGGGACAAGAATCATGCGATGAATGGGATTATTTCCGTTTCAATTTTCCGTGACGTCCTTCATATCAAGAGAGAGAGAGCGCTTGAACCACTGCGAGATGAGTAATGCAAGCGTTTAGTGCACTAACTACGCAACAATGGCTGTGCCGTTTATCACTCTGGCCTGCACTGCACTGCACTGCACTGCATAGCCGAATTTAATTAATATGGATCGCTATTTGATAACTGTTGAATGAATTTTGTCGTGGGTTGCTACCGGTAAGTGCGTGCAGATATACAAATGGTTACCAAACTAGGAAGTAATGCGGAGTGGTGCTTTCAACGGCCATTTCACACTACAGTGACTTCACTAGTTAGGGCGGGGACGATACTACAGATCCCGCAATAGGGCAAACAGTATTGTAGCGTGCTCCGTGCAAAATTGATTTCTGTTGTCAAGAGACGCCAAAGAGGAAAAGTAGGCCGTAAGTAAAAAAATCTAAGTGTTTGTGCTTTCATATACATTAACAGGCAGCTCGTTGCACAAGCGTCTATTTGAATTTGCTTTGTTCCTTCCTTGTTTGTTTCTGAGTCTTAAACCGTCCCTTCTGTAGAGCTACTTTCGCTTCTATTCTGAGGCAACCGTGTTCCCTCTGATAGCAAGCACACAGCAGTAGCAGCAATGACAGGCTTAATGACTAAAATCCCATGGTAAGAAACGATCTTTAAAAAAGCATTTAGCTCTTCAGGATTCATCAGCTTGTTCACTAAAGACCGCCGTTAGAATATCTGCCCTCAGCCTGATCACGCCTATAAATCTGGTTTCTCTATGGTCAATTTTCAATATTCTTTTTTTTTTCTAGTCTCTGAAGTTATGTTTTGTATAAAGTTGTTATTTTCACTTGCGTGCTACATGACCCAGTTGTTTTATTGTGCTTGAATTAATTGTTCTTAACAGCGTCAGAACATAAGTTATTAAGCTTTTTGTATAATAACAAGCAATATTTTAACAGTATAACGACTGGTTACGGGTTGGAGTTCGTTACCGGGGGTTCTTTCTCCAATGGTAAAGGGGCCGGGGCGTAAAGCTGACCATTCACCTCCAACTAGTGCTGATGTCAAGAAGATGTGGATTTATATATCCACTCCTCCATCCCCCTACGCCTTCATGGCATAGTGCTTAATTAGGTAGGAAGAGGGACAATTTTACTTCTCTAATTCTGTTTGACACTACGTAAGGAACAATTTTTCCCCTTCTTATTGACGAATTATTCTCTCTGACCTGTCTCCATTTAGGCCGAAACTACGAGCTTACAGTCAGTTCGTAGGGCTCCTTTTTGCCCGTCACAAGGGCTGTACCTGCAAAGGACAATACAGACACAGAAAACAGGCAAATATGAAGCCATGATTCGAATGGGATTGATATCCACGATCTCAGTGTTTGTGCGGAAGCATTTCGCGCCTTCGGTCGCGCGGCCTATGTCAGCTGCGAAGGGAATATTTTGTGGTCACTATTCACTTCCGTTTATTATATACTTTCATGCTACGTATGTTCCACATAAGTTTGGACTGACGTCAGTTATCACACTGTGGCACGTGATCTGTGGAAATGTGCATGTCTTTTCAAAATTAACGGCGGAGGATAGGCCTGTATTTTCCTTTTGGCCCATGCACTTCATATTGGCAAGTAATTCCTGTGTAACTTGTTTCGCACAGACTCTGTGTGCATTCATCACGTACGTCTAGCACCGCTGATTTTTCAGTCCGAATATATTTCAGTTTGACATGAGTGAAGGAAACATCTCTCAGCTACTTCGCCGGTTAAAATAAACTATTCACAGATATTAATGAATACTGCGGCATATACAACCGTTACTAGGCAACGACCACGAAATAAACAACGAAACAAGAGCCACTGCTAGGTAACAACTTCGTAAATACGCAACATTATTGGAGCCGATGCTAGACAGCGGCCTGCGTGCAACAATGGAAGTACCGTTGAAAGCAGTGTTTTCTATGTGGTCCGCTCCGAGGCTATATCACTCGACCAACTGAGTTCAATTCTATTAGTGGAGTGGAGTGAGTTGGATGGTGAGTGTGTTCCATTCCTGCTTATGCGGTTCAGTCCTTTTGAGCTGTTGCTGTTAGAAGCTGGTAGCTGAGGCACGCGGACAGTTCAAGCGGTTAGTCGCTGGCTTCCCACCGCGGGGGCCTGGGTTCGATCCCGGGTCTGGTCAAGTGGGGTTCTTGGTGGACAAAGTGACGCTGGGGCAGGTTTTCTGCGAGTACTTCGGTTTCTCCTGCCAATCTTCATTCCACCAATTGCTCCACAATCAGCCTCACCTATCATCTGGGGCTGGTACAATAGGCCACATGGGGCCGCAGTACAAGGGACTTAGTCCCACCCAACTAGCAATAACAAAAAAATACGATCTGTAAGTGTTCAATAAATCCAATTACCAATCCCGACTGTAGTCACTGTATGACGTGACAATATAAATTATAGACTATCATGTAATTTTATTAACAAAATGTGTCTTTACTTAAAAACCAGCTTCAACAAATCCATTTTTCCATATTTCTTTGTTTAAAAATTGAACACGCTTTTAGATGGAACACGCCTACAGAGAGAACGAACGGTCAAACCATATTAGAGCCAATGGTTCTCGTCCGATCACGAAATTAGGCAACACTGGTTCTGGTCAGTACCCGGACAGACAATTGCGTTGCAACACACGTACTTCACACATCTCGTAGGAGCTGTGACACCTTAACCAGTGAAGTTATGGGTTGATTGAACAACCGGCGGACGTTTCTCTAAATGTTAGCCAGTGCAGTGACTCAGACTTGCGGACTGACTGTCGGATTTCGATTT